GTGCATGTGCCCCTTCAGATCACTACATTTGTATCTTTGTGGTGAGTACCCAGTAGTGCAATTGCTGGGTCATAGGGCAGCTCCATTTTCAACTTTTTGAGGAACCTCCATACTGTTTTCCGGAGTGGCTGCACCAGCTTGCATTCCCACCAACAGTGTAGGAGGGTTCCCCTTTTTCCACATCCTCGCCAACATCTGTGTTTTCCTGACTTTAGCCATTCTGACAGGTGTGAGGTGGTATCTCATTGAGGTTTTGATCTGGATTTCCCTGATGCCGAGTGATGTTGAGCACTTTTTCCTGTGTCTGTTGGCCATTTGGATGTCTTCTTTGCAGAAATGTCTGTTCATGTCTTCTGCCCATTTCTTGATTGGATTATTTGTTCTTTGGGTGTTGAGTTTGATAAGTTCTTTATAGATTTTGGATACTAGCCCTTTATCTGATATGTCATTTGACTGCATTATTTCTGAAACGAGGTGTTCCAGTGGTTTCCCCACATCTTCAGAATAAAGGGAAACTCCTCCAACATCATGTACAAGTCCTTCCATTCTGGTTTCATCTCTCTCTGCTTCTAACTCACATATACCTCAAGCACTGATTCTCCCTCAATGTCTTCCCATGAATTTCCCAAAGTCACTGGGCTATTTAACTCTCCCAATCCTTGCATAGGCTGTTCCTTTTGCTACAATGCTTTTCTTCATTTCATTTGCCTAGTGAACTAATCCCTCCCTTAAAACTATTATCTCAAATACTTTAAGATTTTATTTAAGATTTAAAACACTTAAATCTTCCCTGACCTCCTGCAGAAAGAGGAAATATTAAAACTCTATTTTTTTTATGTCTTCTACGTATGTGTATTCATTCCCACATCAGGGCCTTTATATTTGATGTTCCCTCTTCCTGGAATGCTCCCCCACTCCTGCCCCCTGCCCAGATCTTCACATGATGGCTTTTTCTAATTGTTTAGGTCCCAGTTCAAATGTTATTCTCAGGGAGGTCTCCTGTCCATTCATCCTAATAGAGCAGCTCCACCCCTACCCAGGTCATTATCAGTACCACCATGAAGCCAGTATTTTAAAAGGCCTTCTCCATGCCCACCTGGGATCTGGCATCAGCCAGGGCCACAGTGTCATATGGATGGTGTACCCTTAGCCCAAACCAGGATCTTCATGGATCCCCAGACCCATTTCAGTACTTCAGGGCATTTTCCAACCCTCTCTTTGCCTCACAGGACCAACCAGATGCCCCAAAGGACACCCAGACTTGTATCTATGATGTTATCCAATGGCTTCATACCCAGCCCTGGTTTCAGTAGGGCATCCTGGCCAGCAGATCACTCCAGTTGATTGGATCATGTGAGGCTGGGTAGCCAGAATGGTGCCGCCACATTGACTTGGAATGACTCAAAGTGTTCCTCTAGATACAGGTCCCACATCTCTCGGGAATGACCGTGCTCCTTCACAGCACTTACACAATCAGAAAGTACACAGTTCCTTAGTTTACTTATTCCTTTACTTTCTGAGTGCTGCCCCTCCGTGGGTAAAAGTAAGTAGTAAGCTCTGTACACAGAGTGACCTTAGCTATCTTCCTCACCACTGGATGGGTGTTCAGTGATAAAACAATTCCTGCCATAGAAGGTATTCAATATCTGTTGAGCAGATAAATGAATGACTGCATGAGATGATGTATTTACTTACTGACCTAGCTCTTCCTCTAGAATGTAAGCTCTCAAGACAATGGACTCTGTCCTACTCACCTTGGTCCTCAGACTGGCATGGTGCCTGCCATAAAAGAAGGCATGAAATCTGGATTTTTTTAATGTGTAAATAAATGAATAACCAGGGGAATAAGTGAATGATATATTATCTATCATATTATGTTATTATCATATATTATCTAGGCTCAAGGTTCTTCACCTTGTCTTCATGATTCTAATGTGAAGATAAGGTTAAGGACCTCTTGTTCTTAAAAGCTCTTGGAGAGCTTTTAAAAACTGCAATGCCCAGGACCAATGAAACCAGAATCTCTGGGACGGCTCCCAAGCACGAGTATATTTCAAGCTCTTCAGGCAAATTCCAGCATGCAACCGCAGTGTCGCATAGGGTGACCAGCCATCCAGGTTGGTGCAGGACTGACAGGTCTCCCAGGACTGACAGTGCTAACAGCCTGACTCTCCTCGGCAGATGGGATGGTTGGTCACCCAAGTTGAGAACCTGTGATCCAAACTGTCACCCAGGATCACTTTTGAGTGATGTATTTTCAATTTTTGAGAAGTCAAGACACACTGGCTTTGTGATTTCACTTGACAATGTAATTACATTCAGGTAGCTCACATTGACCCCAATAGCTGCTTCCTCCTTTGTTCTTGTTCAGATTTGTGCTGCTACCTTTGACTGGGTGACATACAAATTTGTGGCATACAAATGGCAAAGTGAATGATTAAACCATTACAGCAGGTCAGCAACGACCAATAGAGCCTCTAAGGGAGCAAAGTATAAAGTGCTACCTTTCCAAACGCATCCCCAGTGAGCCTTCCCTTTCTTTCCTTCAAAAAAAAAAAAAAAAAAATTCAAAATGATGACTGTACATTTTGACATGTTCCTATTTATCACTTGTTTACACCAGTTACCCTGGTATTAGTTTGTGGTTTCTGATGTTATCACCTGAGGTGATAAATAATTTTTAAAAGAAAAATCCTTATGTAAACTGAATTAATATTCATCATCCCAAACACTAATTAATTTACTACAAGTAAGTGGTTTATACCGAACCCATCCATGTGTAGACACCAGAATCAAAATGCCCTTTGCCCTGTGAGGAAAAAGTGGCACACAGCTCTCTAGGGTCTTTGTTATTCAAATGAAAGTCTCAGCTCATCAGCACCAGCACCACCTGGGAGATTAGAAATGCAGAAACTCAGGTCCCACCCCAGACCTATTTAATCTGATTCTCTGGAGGTGGGCCCAAGACTCTGTTTTAAAAAGCTCTCCAGGTTATTCCTATGCATGCTCAAATTTGAGAGGTGCTGGCTAGAGAGCATTTTGCTCACCCAGTTCTTAACTTTAGTATCTCAGAGCCAAGAAGGAAGAATCAAGGGGAGGCAGCAGACGGAATCATGTAGCACAGTGGTTCCCAAGCTCTGGGGCACATTGAAAACACCTGGAGATTTTTAAAGCTATCAAAGCCTGGCTCCCACCCCACCAATGGGATGTGGTTGTTTTGGGGTGCAATCTGGGCATAGGGATGTTTTAAAAGCTGCCCGGGTGATTCTAATGTGCAACAGACTTTGTGAATCACTGCTTCATAACCAGCAACCCTATCTGCTGCTCATTGCTTCGAGCCTCCACTGCTAAAGAATCCAGAAAACTGGGCAGTACTAGCATTTGCTAGCCACCCCCTCCCTCACAAACATCAGAATCAGAGGTGGAATGAAGGGAAAACTCACTGGGGCTGAATCTCACGTCTGGCATGATAAATGCCTCTTCTGTTTCCCTTCTAGTAGCTATTTGGTTTTTAACCTCTCTGGACCTCAGTATCTTCATCTGTCAAACGGAGACAGTAAGACCCATTTCCCAGGATTATTTGGGACATTACATATGATAACATGTGCAAGTGCCTAATATGTTGCCTAGCACACAGTAGATGTCCAAAAACTCTGAGGCAGGTAAGAGCGCTGTCTCTATACCCTGCTCCCCTGCTGGTGGGACATCTAGCAGCATGGGGTCAGGCAAATATTTAGGGATGGCTCCTGGTCAGCGTACCAAGGGTGTTAACTGCAAAAACCCAGTTCACATGTGAATTCATTTATATGATCTCATTCTAGTCTCCCATCCCAGCCAGTAAACAGGATCATTCTTATTGTCCCCATTTCACAAGGTGATAGAACAGTGGTACAGAGAGGACCAAAGTCACACAGCTGTAAAATGGCAGACGTGGGTCCCCTGACTGTAGCCCAGTGTTCTCTCCACCTCCCGTTCTCAGGCCTCACACCCAGCTGCTTGGCAGCTCGCATTTATTGACAGGATGCATTGATCTAGACCAGCCCCTTTCCAACAGAACCTTCAATGATGTTGGGACTGTTCTGAATCTGCACTCTCCAAGTCAAAGACCACCAGCCACATATGGCTCCTGAGCATTTGAAACGTGGCTAGTGTGACTGGAGAATTAAAAGTTTTTGTTGTATTTCATTTTAATTTAGATTTAAATAGCCACTCGTGAACCACACAGATCTAGCCACAGAGTCTGGAGAATAACAGGAAACTGAAATTCTCTCTCTCTCTTCTACCCACCAAATCAAAAAAAAAAAAAAAAAACCTAAGCCACTTGTTTGCCTTTCTCTTGAAAGATCTTAACTCTTTTTCAATAGACTGGCCAAGCTGGCCCACTAGTTGACAAGGGCATAGCCCCGTGCAACATACAATGGGAGCAACGCTTCGCACCAGTGATCAGCCAGCAGAAACAACACGTGTTACAGAGTCCTGCTTCTCAAACTTGAATGTGCGCATGAATCATCTGAGACCTTGTTAAAATACGGATTCTGATTTAGCAGATCTAGGGTGGGGCCTGAGCATCTGCATTTCTAGCAAGCGCCCAGGTGCTGCTGCAGCTTCAGCTCCACGGGCCACACGTGGACTAGCAACAGTGCTGAGCAGTGGTCTTCAGTGAGCTGATTTTGTCTCTTTCCTTCCTCCTGGAGGCATCTGGCAATGTCTGGAGACATCCTGGATTGTCATGACTTGGGTGGGGGTGTCATGGGCATCTACTGGGTTGAATTCAGGGATGCTGCTAAATAATCCACAATGTGCAGGACAGCCCCCACAGGAGAGAATTATCCTGCCCCCAAAGGCCAGTAGTGCCCCATCTGAGAAGCCCTGTTGCCCAGCTGAGTCTACTCTTCAGGAAGAGGGGGTGTTGATTGGAGAGTCGTGGAGTAGGTCTTCTTGGTATAATAACTCATCATTGCTTTCTCTCTCCCACTCTTTCCTCCTCCTTGTCTGCACAGGAACAAATGCCTCAGCCCCAGACCAGCTGAGCTTAGCTCTAGCCTGGAACAGAGTGGACATCGCTCGCAGCCAGATCTTTATTTATGGGCAGCAGTGGCCGGTAGAGTATATGTCACCACCCCTGCAAAGCCCACTTGCTTGGGCAACGGTATTTGCTTAAGAAGTCTCCGTCTGAGAGCAGCTCGGAGAAGCTGCTGCCTCTTCTCTAGGATGCAGATGTTCCCTCCCTGGTAGCCCTCCTTGGACCCAGGACCCCTTTCTCATATTTAGGAAAACACTGCCACCTGGTTGACGCCATGACAAAGCACAACTGCAAACATTCCAGACAGTTCCCATCTCCGGGTGGCCTCTGATGGCAACGTTCAGCTGCAAATGATGCCATCTCTTCCATACGTCTGAGAAAACACAGAAGACAAAAGTCTGTTTGTGAAAGTGAAGGAAGGCATAGAACTAGCAGTTTGTTTCAGGTTGTCTCTGAGGTTGCTGCTGCCATGCTAGCGTATGGCAGTTTGTTTCTGGTTGTCTCTGAGGTTGCTGCGGCCATGCTAGCGTATGGCTCCATCACACCTCAGGATGCAGGATTAGCAAGCTCCCGCATGCAGGTACCATCTGGTCCTGGTGGCTGAGCACAGGTCCTCCCTATTCCCAAGCACCACACAGAGGGAACCAAAGCGTTATGTAACTGTTCTTGGTTTGTTTCCCTCAACTGACATTACCAAAATTAAAAACTTGGAAAATTGGCTATTGGGTGGTTGGTGCCTGGATCCCTAGGAGGCAGCCAGCAGTCTGAGATTTGATTTCTGTGCTAGAATAACTGAAGGGCAATACCCTCATGGACAGGTCTTCTTTAGCCCTGTCTTTCCCGCAGAGAGCTGCTGCCTCCCCAACCCCCCATGAAACCCCTGTCTTTATTTAGTGCCGCTAGTGGATGGCTAGTGTGGAAAGATTCGTCAAGGAATATAGACACTGGGAAATTTTTCGTGAAATGAATTGAATAAAACCCTGGTAAACAGACCAAAGAACCTAAATATTTGCTTCATTTCTGCATAGAAATGGGTTAGGAAGAAGCAAGGTAGTCTAACACTTCATTAAAATGAAGAAGGGCCTACTGTATATCTTTTGCTGGGGTCCCTCTTCTCAGGTAGTGGGGGTCTGATTCACAGCCTCAGGAAGATGAAAAGGACAGCAAAGTACCCACTTTGGCACTTCACTAGTACTGCAGAAGTTTGGTCAGAGAACACAAGGAGAATTCTCGTATACCCTGCGTCTTCCTAGGATCCAGAAGAGAAAAAAAGGAGTCAAGGAGGGAATAGCTTTTGGAACTAGAAAACTTTGAATTCTATTTGCAAAGACAGGTCCCAAAACACAAGTGAGATTGTGGCTGTCCCAAAAGTGGTGTTGGGAACAGTCTTGCTAGCATGTTCTTGGATGTGTTTACCAGATGTCAAAGCCATGTCTAAAGCGTTCAAGTGAACACCAAGGAACTGCATCCCTAGAACCTGGGGCAGACTAACTCAGTGACTTGATTTGCAGGTGGGGTCTTTGGAGCAAGCCATGCTGGATGCCCTAGTTCTGGACAGAGTGGATTTTGTGAAATTACTCATAGAGAATGGAGTAAGCATGCACCGCTTTCTCACCATCTCCAGACTAGAGGAATTGTACAATACGGTAGGACCAAGCTAAGGCACTTTTTATTTTCTCTGTGTTTTTTTTGTTTGTTTTACCTTTTCCTGCCCCCGCACACGCCTGTGAGTCTCTTCCCTCCCCTCCAAATGCATGGATCATTTTTCACAAGTGTTCCCTTAGACCTTTAGACAACAATGCCAAGTCACCAAGATTCCACTTGTTTTAACTGCTCAGTTGTCAGCATCTAAGGGGGAGAGTTACGCGATCACACCAAAAGCTAACATTCTCAGATTCTTACACAAACCCACGAGGCTCTGAAAATTAGAACACAGTGTATGCTGTAAGCCCAGAGGGCATTTGAGGCAATCAGCAGAGGAGAATTGATTTAATTCAAAGTGTCAAAGGAGACCGATTAACTATCCCACACCATCTTGTTATCCTCAGAGCTATGACATTCATTCCTTTTCCTCTATAATGGAATAAAGTGTACAATACCCCTTGCTTGGAGTTACCACAAAATATTTTTTGTATTGTTTTGTAATAATTTGCTACTTCATTTACTAGGGACACCAAGGAGTAATCATAAAGAAAAACTACTATTTAGGAAGTTGTTTATAGTATTCAGTGAGTTAAGTATGTTGGCTCTGAGCTGATACTCGCCAAAATCCAATGACGTTTAAAGAGTAGATATTGGAAACTTCAAGAGGAAACAGGCCGCTTGGAGAGTACAATTCGGGAAGGTTAAGAAATCTTTCTTCCCGAAAGTTCTGGACCTACCTCAATAGCATTCACTGCTTGTTCTTTTGTTTTGAATTCCACAAAGGCAAATCCCTTTGGATCTCCAGTAGACTATAATGTGGTTTATACTTATATAAAAACAACATTGGTACATTTCCCAAACACTCTTTCAGTCCAGCTGTGATTAGCATTTTTGGGAAGTAATTCCTATGATACAGTAGAAGCAGTATTAAATATGCAAGACTTCTTAATCAAGATCAATAAATTTTTACTTAGAATATTAAGAAAAAGAGTAGGTATTGTTTTCCTGCATTTTACAGATAAGAAAACTAAGGCCAAGAAGTGAATTGGTTTATTCAAGTTCACAAAACTCCTAAGTAAAGAAGAAAGCCAGTACTGAACCAACACTTCTGTCGTAGAGGTTATTCTTCCCCTCATTTGTCACTGCTTCTCTGTCCCCCACGCACAGCCCTAATGAGATAGGGCTTATTGACCTTTCCTCCAGCCAGTGGTGGGTGTTAGGTGGTACCACACTGGCTCTCTCTCCTTCCTGCTGCTAGAACTAGAAAACAGTTTAGCAGAGCGGCTCCAGGTGTCTGTTTTCTCTGCAGATTTTTCTTGCTTCTGCATAGTGACACTTTCAGTATGAATAGACTGAAAATGATAGAGTAGGAGGTCCCAGTTTCTGTCCCCACCAAAAGATCAATAATTAGCCCTAGGTGAAATGGATAAATTCCCAGAAACATGCAACTGACCAAATCTGAATCATGAAGAAATAGAAAAATTTTAACTGACCAATAACAAGTTAAGGAGATGGAATCAGTAATCAAAAACCTGCTGACAAGAAAAGCCCAGGAGTAGGTGGCTTCACAGGGGAATCTTACCAAACATTTAAAGAACTAACCCCAATTCTTGTTCAACTTTTCAAAAAACTTGAAGAGGCAATACTCCCAAATTTATTTTAGGAGGCCAGCATTACACCGACACCAAAGTGAGACACTGTAAGAAAATAAAACTACAGGCCAATATCCCTGATGAATATAGGTACAAAAATCCTCAACCAAATACTAGCAATTGAAATCCAACAGCACATTGAAAAGATCATACACCAGGACCAAATGGGATTCCATCCCTAAATGCAAGGATGGCTCAATATATGCAAATCAATAAATGCACATCACATTAATAGAATGAAAGACAAAACTCATATCATCTCAATAGGGAGGGAGGCAGGGAAAAACAGGCACCCAATTTGGAAAAGAAGAAGTAAAATTGTCTTTGCTGATAACATGATTTTGTATATAGAAAATCCTAAAGACTACACACACACACACACACACACACACACACACACACAAAACTATTAGAACTAATAAATGAATCCAGTAGAGTTTCACGATACAAAATCAACATATGAGGGGCGCCTGGGTGGCTCAGTTGGTTAAGCGACTGCCTTCGGCTCAGGTCATGATCCTGGAGTCCCGGGATCGAGTCCCGCATCGGGCTCCCTGCTCAGGGGGGAGTCTGCTTCTCCCTCTGACCCTCCCCCCTCTCATGTGCGCTCTCTCTCTCTCATTCTCGCTCTCTCAAATAAATAAATAAAATCTTTAAAAAAAATCAACATATGAAAAGCAGTTGAATGTCTATACACTAAATGAACAATCTGAAAAGAGAATAAAACAATCCCATTTACAAAAGCATCAAAAACTATAAAATACTTAGAGATAAATTTCACCAAGAAGTAAAAATCTATAAAGCAAAAATTATAAGACATTGATTAAAGAAATTGAAGAAGACACAAATAAATGGAAAGATATCCCATGTTCACGGATTAGAAGTGTTAATAATGTTAAATTGTCCATATCACCCAAAGCCTTTTATAGATTCAATACAATCCCTTTTGTCGGAGTCCAGCTCCAGCGGGGGAAGGGTCCTTGAAGGAAAGGACGGCGTCGGCGTCGGCGAGGGAGGAGACACGACACAGGATCAGGTTGCAAGCATCTCCCGCCCGCCCGATAGCCTCGGAGGGACTCTTTTTATTCATTAGTGTTTTCTTGTTTTTCCATTCCATGTGATCTTATTTTTTTTACATTTTATCGCAATCATTTCGGATTTAGAAAACAGAGCGTGATCTATGAAGGTTATCTACTTTCTCCAAAGGCAGTTTACAATGGGTGCACCCTATTTTATCAAAGTACTTATTCCATTTCTATATGTCTCTTGTCCTTGCTCCGTAGACACCACGGAGCACTCCTTTCCCAGAGGCTGTCAGATGATGCCCGCACCCTTTTTTCCTTTAATCTTATACCATTTGTTTATGTCCTCATTATCAACTCCAGTATAGGGAATGGGAGGAATAGGGGCAAGGAAGTTATCCTACACCAGGGGCTTGCCTCGAGGGGCATACCAAAGGTGGCCTCCTATTTTGTATACAACATAGGGAGGTTCCTGTACTGTGGAATGTCATGAGATTTTTCTAATGTTTCAGAGGTGCCTGAGAATCTCATCAATAGGAATTTTTACTGGGCCTGGATCCAACACCCTTTCAAAATGCCAGTGGCATTTTTTCATGGAAATAGGAAACACAATCCTAAAATTTACATGGAACCACAAAGGACTCTAAATATCCAAAGCAATATTGAGAAAGAACAAAGGTAGAAGTGTCACCTTTCCTGATTTCAAACTACTTCACGAAGCTATAGTAATCAAGACAGTATGGTATTGGCATAAAAATAGTCACATAGACCAATAGAACAGAGTCAAAAGCTCAACAATAAACACATGCATATACGGTCAACTAATATTTGAAAAGGGAGCCAGATATAAAAACACAGTTTGGAGGATCCTCAAAATATTTGGGGCTGAAGGGTGGGAAAAATGGGAGATGTTAGCCAAAGGGTATAAACTTTCCGTTACAAGACTAATAAATTCCAGGGATCTAACGTACAGCATGGAGACTATAGTTAACAACACCATATTGTATAATTGAAAGTTGCTGTGAGATTAGAGCTTTAATGTTTTCACCATAAGCAACAACAAAATGGTAATTATGTTAAGTGAAGGATGTGTTAACTAACCTAATTGTGATAAACAAATCACATTGTACACCTGCAACTTACACAATGTCTTATTCAATTATATCTCAATAAAGCTAGGGAAAATGGGGTTTTCAGTAAAATAAATAAAATAAAACACAGAGTGTAATGACTTGCATATCAGTTAGAGAATCAAGGTGATGTATTTATTCCAATGATTGGAAAGAAGGAAGTAGGAAAGTTCTAGATCAAGAAAGGCCAATAGATTTCATCACCCAAATCAACTGGTGGTGGTTCCCCAGACCACTGTCAAGAAGGATTATGGGACTGCAAATGGCCTCAGTAATAATAAGGAGCTTGCACATAGGCATAGCTGGTAGGCAGCAGACCCGGGTGTGGAGCCAGGCATTCTGACTCCAGAATTTGTGTGTTCAATCCCTATATCAGACTGCATTCCTCAGTGGAAAAAGAATTCTGAGAAGGATGTCGCATGAATGGGCAGGGAGTTGAGCTGATACCCAGGATTCGTCTCCATACCCGAATGTGTTCCCACAGCACTGAAGGATTTGCCATCCCTATTTGAGATTCTCCAATAGGGTCACCAGATTTTGCAAATAAAAATACAGGATGCCCAGTTAAATTTGAATCCCAGGTAGACAATGAGTAATTTCTAATATGAGCATGTCCCATGAAATATTTGGGATATACTCATACTAAAAATTATTTCTTATTTATCTGAAATTCAAATTTAACTGGGCATCCTGTATTTTATCTAGCATTCCTATTCCTGAAAGATGACAGGGATAGCAAGTCATTTCACATTAGCCTCTCTTTTCCTTCCAAGAGCCTGTGGCTTTTTCTTTAGACTAGATTTGAGCAAACTGCTACCAAAGAGTCAAATCCAGCCCACTGCCTGTTTTTGTATGGCCTGCAAGCTAAAAAGGTTTTTTAAACATTTTTTAATGATTGCAAAAAATCAATAGGAGAATGATATTTTGTGACATATTAAAATTATATGAGATTTGATTCTCTTTTGGTGTCCATAAATAAAGTTTTATTGATACAAGGGCAGGCTCACTTGTTGACATATTATTTCCAGCTGCTTTTGCACAATGGCAGAGCTGAATGGTTGCAATGAAAAGTATATGACCCACAAAGTCTAAAATATTGACTCTTTTTCACAGAAAACTTTGCCAACCTGTTTTAGACAATTTCTCATTTGTTATGGGTAATAAACAGGTTGTGATCAGCCATGTGCTGAAGTGTATTTCCAGTGCTCTAAATTGGTCCCTTTTATCTCCCCCCTGCCTCAAAACTAGCCCCTTTCATGATGTTTGGGCCCAGGTGTCCACAGGTTGACAACCTCCTTTACAAAGTTTGAACCTAGAACCTCAAACGGTTTCTCTCAAGGAACCACAATCCAAAAATCTGCCAGCGTGTTGGTTTAGAAAAGGCAGGTACAACTGAGCAACTACAACAAGGTTCATCTTAACGAACTGTCCCTCCGCCGGCCAGAACCCTTCCTTCCAGATCCTTCTTGCCTTACCAATGAGAGCCCCTGACCAGCAAAACCATTTGATTCTTCTTTATTGTTTTCAGAGACATGGGCCCTCAAACACATTGTACCACTTGGTCAGGGATGTCAAAAAGGTAAGAACCCTCTCGACTGCAGGTCGGAGGCCCTGTCTTGACTGCTTCCTGTGATTAGAAAGCGCCTCTGTTTTGCATGAGCTGCCAGAGCGTGCCTGTCCCTGCGAGCTCCCTCATTTCAGGGCACTGTGTGTGTGTCGCCTTTTAACGATGACTCTGCTTACAATGCAGCTGCGGTTTTACCTCCCGTCTCTGTGGTTTTAGATGCTTTCATGGGACATAATGTTTTTGGATAGCAGAACACGTAATATTTTTGGATAGCTTTGCCCCACGCTGCGTGGATTTCTGCCATTGCCCATTTTCTTCCATATGCCCCTCACTGTTTGGGGAGCTAGTTTCCATGTTGTCTGACTAACCATAGGAGGTATCTTCATGTCCTAGCTCCTGATGCCATGCGTCACTGTCACTTCTAACATTATGCAGAGCACAGGAAGCGTAGCTCAAAAAGTCTCAGAGTATCAGAGACAAAAACACATATGTGCATTCCATTCTTCTAACACTTTATTTTTTCTAGTAGGTTTTTTCACGTTATCTAATTGATGGGGGGGCAGAAAGGCAGGAGGTTAGGATCAAGGAGAATTATTCCCATTTTACAGATACAGAGGCTGAAATGTAAGGAGGTGAGAACTGTAGTACATGGTTAGAGAAGAGGCAGAATTCAAACTCAGATCCTTTGATTAACAATAATAAAATTTTAGTGACGACCAGGTGCATGGCACTAATCTAAGCCTGCTGTACGTTGCAGCTCGTTTCATCTTCATGACAATTCTATGAAGTTGAATTATTATTTTATTATCATTATTATATATTATGATTCCCATTTATAGATGAGAAGAGTGAGGTGCAGGGAAGCTATGTTTAATCTTAGCTAAGTGCTTGTTTTTTTGCCCCATTCAATCTCTCTTAGAGGTAACTTCATTCCAAATCCTTGACAGCATTCCCAGAGACTGCTGTTTTAACTCCAAAGGAGGAAATAGATGGGGGCACTTTTCCCACCCCTACATATACATATGCACACCCACCCACCACTCACCAAAGCCTATAGGACCTACTCAGAGGAAGCTACAAAGTAAGGTCAAAAATAGAGTACAATTCCTTCATCTCATATGGAGTCATTGTCTAGAACTTCCCTTAGGTGTTTCCCTTGAAAGGCCAAGTAAAAAGTCCTGAGGCTGCTTAGAATGTTCCTATTAACCAACTAGACCTTTGCTAGTAACGAGTGAAGGGTACAAAAAATAAACAAAAACCTTCTGTTGGCTCTTGGAAACTTTCCTCTCATCTCTACACAACCTTACTGAAGGATTTTTCATCTGTGTGAGTGAATGAAGCCTGTTGTTCTTTCAAAGCAAGAGAAACAGATGCTGTGTATTCTATACATCCAACCCAACCACCATTTTACCAAGATCACATCTTTCCCTGATCTGCCCCATTTCGAGCCAGAAGCACATCTGCCCTCAACAGAGCCCTTTCTCTTACCCACAAGCCTTCCAATATTGTGTCATTTACCCTGGCTTAAAATTGCCTGGAAACTAAATAGGGGGAAGGATCTCGAAAGATTAAGTGTACACATCTAATGCGTATTCTTTGCCATGATATTTGTCGCTCATGTACAATAAAATGTCCTTAGAGTTTTTAAATGATAAATAAGATATTATCCCCTCCCCCATCACCTTGAGCTAGTCTGTGTCCCTGCAGGAATTGTGAGGCTTGCTGAGGAGACAGCTGTGCCTTTGTCCCTCAATCTCAGCCAGTGGCCAATTTGAGCCTTCAAATAAAGTCACTGATTCACCTTCATCCCCTAGTTTCTCAATATCTTGCCTGATTTTCAAAGGGATTTTTGCAGTTAGATTTCATTGAATATAAATGATCAAAATCCCTCCTCTTAGGTTCTCTTCCTTGTACAGCTCTGCTTTGCAACATCATTTTCTCCCTTCTGAAATCCCCTTTGCTGCCTCTTACATTGGCTCATGTCACTTGCATTAGAAGGCATGTATTTTTAAGGTAGGGTTTTTTTTTTTTTAAACTTCTTAGCTAAAGATGTACTTCAAAAGTAATATAAACTAATGAGAAAGAATGGGATGGTAAGGATTTGGGAGGAAGGAGTATTAGGATCGGTCTTATTTTTCTTTCAAGTGTGATCCAAATATTGGAACAGAAATACATAAGGATTCATTTAGGTACTGAATTAGTAACTGGAAGAAGTGATTACAGATGATCCAGTATAGTTCTGAACTGGCTTAGGAACAATTTATCCTTTAACCTGGGAAAAGAGAGTTGCCAATAAGGTGGGGAGAAACAGATGGCCTGTTTTTCGTTTCTTCCCTTGGGAAGAGAGAGGAACAGGAAAAGCAGACTCCCGTTTATTTCTATGATAAAGGTGAGCCTCTGACTTGGACAACAAAAAGGTATAACAGTGGGAACCAAAGGAGCTGGGAGTCTCTACGTTTTATGTCATATGGATGAAGGGAGCTAAAAACAAGGGGTTTTTGTGTTTTCTTAAGAAGTAAATGAAAGAGGGGTGCCTAGGTGGCTCAGTCGGTTAAGTGTCTGCCTTCGGCTCAGGTCATGATCTCAGGGTCCTGGGATCAAGCCCCGCATTGGGCTCCCTGCTCAGCGGGAAGCCTGCTTCCGCCTCACCATCTGCCTCTCCCCCCACTCATGCTGTGTCTCGCTCTCTCTCAAATAAAAAAATAAAACTTAAAAAAAAGTAAATGAGAGAAATTAACATTGGTGCTCATCTTCCTCAAGTGGTTTCAGATGACTTCCAGAAATTTAGGCCAATGCGATACGCAAAGTCTACAAAAGCTAGGTTTAAAATGCTAAGAAAATCTTGGGCAGTTTAAGCAATTTTCAAAATTAAGGAACTTGATAATTAGCATGTGCTTTGTGCTTTATGATTGTACGACTTTATGTTACCTATTAGTGGATGTGATCTGTGACAAAAAAATATTAACCAGTGAGTGATAAGCCCTGGTACAAAATGCTACTCCTATGTTAGGATCATAGTTCTGAACCTGAAACATGTTCGGTGATATATCTGGAAAATCAAATGCAAGTGACTCTTAGGAATCCAGGCAATGCATTTAGGAATCATCAAACGGTCCCATGTTAACAGCATTATTATCTCCAAGTCCAACTCTCCCTTGATATCGAGAGAACTGAGTTTAGAGAACTGAATCTCAAATTACTAATTTCAAGGGAACAATCTAGGAGCAAGGAGGTAAAAAGTTGTTTATACAGCATCAATCAGAAATTTAAAATGATAGAGTCCAACCCAGTTCCCGGAACTGCTTTCCTGCATAAATCCATTGGATGCACCAATGAGACATTAATCCAGAGCAGCCCGAGTCTGTCTGCTTTTCTGTGAAATCTAACTTGCTATTTTTAGAAGCTAACTGCTCGATTTGTGCCTCTATATGTTTTAAAGTACTAGTTTTTCTTTCTTAACTTAAATGTGCTAATACTTCAGATGACCTGTACTATCATCCCCCACCAAGGGAGGGTGATAGTTGAGTATTATATAGAAATAGTTGTGAAATTATGATAGTTTAAAATTCATTCACATGGGAATTAAGACCCAGAGCTTTGGCGGCAGAATGAAAGGGTGGGGGAAGAATTTAAGACACTCTTTGGATAAAGAAAGGACATTTTGATAATCCCATCTGCCAAATTCATGCAGATTTGCAAAAGCGTTTTTATTTTTTAAAAGATTGCCTGGTCTATAACCAAGCTGAACATTGCGGGAATATTCTCTTTTCCTTGAACTTTCACTAAAAGAGACTTTTGCCCACCCTTCCTTGGTAAACCCAACAACCAGCAATCATTTTACACGCTACATAGACTGGAAGGAAGCAATCTTGTTTTGAAGGCTTGTTAATAAGTTTCCACAAAATGTGTTTCCTAAACAGCTGAAATCTGATAGTGATATCATGAGCTGACTTCTGAAAAAGAGCATATTCAGAAGAGCAGATCCAATACATGCATTTAAACTACTCTTTTAATTAAAAGTCATCTGTAGGATGGCATGGATTAAAACTTAGCTTCAGAGAAGTAGCTCATGGCAAGAGAAAAGGGGACAACATTTTCATGTTGTCAGTTTGTATCTACCAATAGAGCCAAGGTTCTCTGTTTCACTCTGTGGATCAAATGGTTTGAGTCACATGGCTTGCAATGTGTTGTTGAGGCATGAAAGGGGACATAAGTGTTCAGGCATTACCAATTACCAAAGTAATTACCAAAAGAGGGAGGAGGGAAGAACAGAAATGACAGAAGGAGCATTACTCCAGGGTCGTTGTCGGCTTCCTCTTTGAAAAGCACCCAAGCGAAGGAAGACTCCTCCAGAAGGTTTTTGGACATTACCTGTGGTATGTGAGGTGCTGTTCACTTTCTCTGCTTTTTCCAGAGGAGTGGATGTGATGTGCACAATAGCATTCCCGTCTAGCCCTTTACCATCCCTGTCTCTGAGCCCTCAGCTCCACTAACCACATTTCAGGGGCGATGAGTAGAAACTACGTCAACCCTGCACACTCTGGACAACAATCTTTGCCCAGTGCCCAGGCAGCATAGAAATAAGAGCAGCCTGCCAGGTAGTGGTCAGACAATTGGACCTTTAGAAATAGACATGACCTTTCGAAGTAACTCTGTCCAAAGTGCCTGTTTTCAGAGTGTAAACTGAGGCACAGAGTAAAGAAATGATCTGCCCAGGGTCACAGAAAGGCAGAGCTAGGACCACAGTCCAGCCCAGTGCTGTTTCCACTGCGGGGTCATATTGCAGGCTGTTCTCTGCGTCTTTGACATCTAAGGTCACAGGTGGCCAAGGCCGTCAGCCCGGCACGTCAGACAAACCCCAATGCTCCCAACCCCTTCAGGGTCATCCAGGACACAGGTATCACAAGAGGCTCAAATTGTACCTGATTTTATTAATTTTATGAAATCTATTTCTTCCTCCCCAAAAGATTTTCCATTCTTCCTAGTAAAAATTGTGAAACTAATTTCCCTTA